CCGCTGAGCAGGAAGCCCAGGACCCTGGGATCATGACCTGAGGCGAAGGCAGAGGCTTAAGGACTGAGCCACCCAGGCGCCCCCCCCACTTGTTTCTTTAATCATATTTAAGGAGTGTCCTTAAGGAAAACTTCACCTTCTTGAAGATTAAAGCCTACTTCTCTGTTCCCAGTCCAAATGTCTGCAAAGCTGAGCAAGTCATCACTCCTTCCACAAACTGCAGAGGAGTCTGACAGCATTCTGATAGTGAAGATGGAAGAGGAAGAGCAGGCCTGTGATCTGGACTCCAGCCTCCCCTGGAGCCGCTCCTGCAGCCCAGAGACCTTCCGCCAGCGTTTCAGGCAGTTTGGCTGCTCTGATTCCGCGGGGCCCCGGGAGGCCCTGAGCCGGCTCCGGGAGCTTTGCCATCAGTGGCTGAGGCCGGCGGTGAACTCCAAGGAGCAGATCCTGGAGCTGCTGGTGCTGGAGCAGTTTCTGAGCATCCTGCCTGAGGAGCTGCAGATTTGGGTTCAGCAACATAGTCCAAAAAGTGGCGAGGAAGCTGTGACCCTGTTGGAAGAGCTGGAGAAAGAATTTGATGAGCCAACTGAGCAGGTAAAAAGGCATCTGGTGGGGGTGAGTGACCAGGTTGAGTTCGGAGCTCTGGGGCATCGCTGGGAGTAGAGCTTTCAAACTGTACTCCTACTCAGCACACTAAACACGTAGGGTAGTGAATGTCCTCCTGCCTGTGCCGGAAAACAGAGTGTGGCTCTGCTTTCTTCCTCCCTTTTCCTGAATCCCAGGATATTTTTCTGTGTAGTTTCTTCTCTATTATTTTTTTTATTTTATATTTTTTTAAGATTTTATTTATTTGTTAGAGAGAGAGCCCAAGCAGGGGGAGTGACCGAGGGAGAGGGAGAAGCAGACTCTCTGCCGAGCAGGGAGCCTGATGCAGGGCTCGATCCGAGGACCCCGGGCTCATGACCTGAGCCGAAGGCAGACACTTAAGCCAGAGCCACCCAGGCGCCCTTTCTTCTCTATTATTTTATCCCAAAGTCCCAACAAGATTCCCTTCTTCAGTCTCAGTTATACCTAACTGCTTCCAGGTCTTTTTTGGACAAAGTGAGGACATGCCTGAAGAGAAGCTGATAGCCAGGGAAATCACTCAGGAGCCCCCACGTAGCCGGATCAAGCCCGGAAAGCAGCCGCTGCCATGGGCATCCCCAGAGTTTCGCTCAAGACAAAAAGGTGAGGGGCGGGATTCAGTTCATGGTGGGGACAAAGGTGGCCTCTCAGCCCACCACACACGTCTCAGCTGCTTTCGGCAAGCGGTCTCAAATCTCCCCTCCTGCCTCCTCTTCACCGTGGGGACTTCCACCATTAGATGTTGTGCTAATGATCATTCTCGGTGTTTTGTTCTTGTTTTTTTCCCAGAGAGTCTTATGATATCTTTCAGATTTTTAAATCCTTGACATCATCTCCATGGGGATTTTCAAACCTTTTTTGAAGAAGCATGACCCTTGGGGCGCTTGGGTGGCTCAGTCGTTAAACGTCTGCCTTCAGCTCAGGTCCTGCTCCCTGTGTCCTGGGATCGAGCCCCACATTGGGCTCCCTGCTCAGTGGGGAGTCTGCTTCTCCCACTTCCTCTGCCCCTCTCTCTGTGTGTGCTCGTGCTCTCTCTCTCTCAAATAAATAAATAAAATCTTTTTTTAATTTTTTTAAATTTATTTATTTGAGAGAGAGAGAAATAGCATGAGAGGGGAGAGGGTCAAAGGGAGAAGTAGGATCCCTGCTGAGCCTGGAGCCCGATGCGGGGCTGGATCCCAGGACTCCGGGATCATGACCTGAGCCGAAGGCAGTCGCTTAACCGACTGAGCCAACCCAGGCGCCCAATAAGTAAATAAAATCTTTAAAAAAAAAATAAGAAAGCATGGCCCTTTTCTGAAATGAAATGTTGCCTGGAGTCCCAGTATATAAAACAGATGAAAGCACAGCTACTGACGCAGGAACAAGCAGCGTCCATCCACAAGGGCTCCAACTTGGCCTGTCCCCCCTGAGGGACCCCAGAGTCACAGTCTAAAGACCACTAGTCTACCTCCTCATTTTCTGTCTAGCTTCTTGCTTGGTTACTGGTGGCATCCAGTGTTAAAATCACCATACTGCTGCTAAGATGACTTTACCCTCACACCCTAAACTGATCTCTGTTGCTGCCTGCATCACTTTTTACAAAAGTGCTCCAAAATGGCTGCACGGCAACCTGTTCTTCTGTTGCAGATACTCAGAAGGTAAGTGCTGTGGGACAAAAGCAAAGCAGAATAAGGGGAATAGGTTTTACTAAACAAAGTAGGGACAGAGTCTTATTTAATAAAGTGGCGGAGAAAGCCTCTTTGATGAGCGACATTTGAGCAGAGACCTTCCTTCTAGATGATCATGCTGGATAAAATGGGAGTCAGAAATGAAGAGGGAAACCCCACTTGGGAGGATCTCCCCTTCTCCCCCCAGCACGGCTTCCATATTCCACAGGGCAAGGTTAGAGTTTTTCCAAGGTACTTTTTTTTTTTTAATTAATTTTATTTTATTATGTTAGTCACCATACATTACATCATTAGTTTTTGATGTAAGGTACTTTTGATAAGAAAATATAGGAAAA